GATACAATTGTGGACAGGGCCGTCAGAGTGGGTCTCGCTTGGCGAGTGTAGTACCCGCTCCGAGAGCGTAGGAAGGCTCGGCGTGCCAGCCTGCCTGGCGGGACTGTCCCCGATGGCTGTTGTCGACGGGGGGGGGGTACCCACTTTGCCCTTCTGTCGCCTCCCCTCTTTGGCCTTCCTACCACACCTTCGCCGAGCACCCTGACCGGCCGCTCACACTCCCAGCACGGATCGACCCCCAGCACCGAAGGCGACTCGCATCCTGCCTCTTCCCCTCTTGCACCTTCCCAGTCTGTTCCCAGCCCCAAGCCCTACTGCCACTCACTCGTTACTACCGTGTGTTCCGTCCATCAGATACCGAACTTTTGCGTAGTGCGAGCATTCGAGCGGCTTCTACCTTGGTAGAGACACCGGCAGCGTGCCTGCAGGGCTGATGTTCAGGCTTCGAACTTAGCCTTAGCAGCGTATTGATACAGAATTCAAAAAAAGTTCTTCGGACTCGGTACCAGTGCGGAACCTCGCGCCGTCTGAGTATTCAAATGACTCCGAGCTAGGTGTGGGTACGGAGCTTCGAACTTAGTCACATGCAGAACACGGACTAAGTACTCAAAAGAAAAAAAGAGAGGGACTCTGCCTGAGTATTTGAAGGACTTCGAACTTGGCGTGGGTACAGACCCACGAACTTAGTCACATGCTCAGGTACAGAACTCAAAAGGAAAGAGGGATTCTGACTGAGCATTTGAACGTCTCCGGGCTTGGTATGGGTGCAGAACTTCGAACTTGGTCACATGCAGAGCATAGCTTCGGAGCTCGAAAGAAAAAAAAAGAAGACTCTGTCTGAGCATTCGAGCAACTTCGAACTCGGTAAGGGTATAGAACTTCGACCTTGGCCACATGCAGAGTACAGATTCAGAGCTCAAAAAAAGAAGAGAAAAAAAAAACATTGCCTGAGCACTCGAACGGCTCCCAACTCGGTATGGGTGCAGAACCTTGAACTTGGTCACATGCAGACTCGGAGTACAGGTTAGGAGCTCAAAAAGGAAAAAAAGGAAGACTTTGACTGAGCATTTGAGCGACTTCGAACTCGGTATGGGTATAGAACTTCGAACTTGGTCACATACAGAGTACGGTTTAAAAAAAAAGGGAGGGGACTCTCGCGGCGCGAGCCCGCAGAGTGTTCGGGAGCTCCGCAGAGTCACCCCACAGCCGCAGATACAGAACCTCCAACAGCAGTGCCCGAGCCGCGCGAGCTAGCAGTGCGATCTCGTACGTAAGAGGCGGCATACATCGCCCGCAGCTGACAGTTTCCGGCTCAATCTGTTGCCGCGCTAAGGGACTCGGGGACACCGGGAAGGAATCTCCGCTTGGCAGGGTTCGCGCGGTGCTGTGCTCTCGAGTGCTTAGAAGGTGGTCGTGCATCAAGCGCTAACGACCGCCTTCGGTTTTCGCCTGTTGCCGCATGAAGGAGTTCACACGCCCGCCACCTACCCCTTTCCGTCTTCCTCGGCCCGATACCTCCTCTCTCCCTCTCTCCCCCGCAGAGCGCACTACGGCTCCCCCTTCCTCGCTCCCACGCTTCGACCCTGTCTCCCTCGGTTTTCTTCGGCCTCTCCGTTCGGGCGCTCTAGCTCCAGTCCGAACCCCTGGGTCTTAGGTACGAGCTTGGATTCCAGTATCCTGCCGAGCATTCTCGGAGCGCTTGCTCCTTCTCGTGCAACCTTGTCGCGAGCTTCTTATCCCCGTTCCGATCGCAAGTGCGTCATAACCCCCCCCTCGTTCGACCTTATGCGAGCGCCAGAACAAGCGTGCCGAAGTACTAAACGCCTTTGGTGCTGCCGCGCGTGTCCGGATGCTGGCACTCGTGTGCTCCGCCTTCCCCCTTGTTCGACCTTCCCTCCTCTTCCTCGTCTCCCCGTCTGTCTCTGTCTCCCCAGACGAAAAGGCGGGGCTTCCGCCTATCTCCCTAAACCGTTCGCCCTGCGACTACCCCTTTTCTCTCTCTCTCTCTCTCTCTCTCTCTCTCTCCTTCCCTCGTCTTCTTCCCCGGGCGCTGAAGTCCCTCTATCGTGCGCTTAGTCTCTCAGAAAAGCCTCGTATGCCCGGGCCTATGACTCTCACACCTTCGCAGGCCGCTCAGAGGTGCATTCTGCCGCCACGTCCATGCGTACGTACGCCGGTTGCGCGCGCGACCGCGCCTTCCTCCCCTCTCGCCCTCTCGTTCCTGCGTTCGCTCGAGCGCTGGACCGCTGTCGAGCACTACTGAAGTCTGCCGTGTGCTCCGAACACCTTCCCTCAAAAATTTCCTTCCTCTCCTTTTTATACGTTTCTCTCCTCCCTTCAGTAGCTCCAACTCTACATTTCAAGGCACCGAAGCCGAATTTTTTGGCAAAATTTCTCTCTTCCTGCCATCCCCTTTTCGTCCCCACTCGTTTTTGTTCTCTGCTCCCGCTCTCAGTTCTCGATCCTCCTCCCCTCACAACCACCAATAGGATCACCTTCTACCTTCTTCTTCTGGATCGTTCGTGATCGCTGTGCGAGGTTCCCACAGTCCGTACCTCCCGCTCTTTCTCCAGAGACCAACGTCGCACCTCGCGTTGTCTTCCCGCCCTCCTCCCCTCACCGGTTCTCCCTCATCCCCTTCCCATCCTTCAGTTCGTCGTTTCAGTTGCCCCCCCGCGCGTCCAACCCTCATTAACAGTTATCAAGAAGATCGGGGCGTGCGCGCCCCTCTTCCGTTCGGTGTACGCTTCCCCCCTTCGTTCCTCCCTTGCCTCTTCTCCCACCCCCAGTCTTTTTAGTCCTCAGGTAGTACGAGATCAATTTCCCGCTTCGTCGACGCAGCGGCTCTCTTGCTGACAGCTACCAAGAAGGCAAGAGCACGCGCGCTCCTTCGGTTTTCCAGTCTCGGTGGGCGCGTTCCCCTCTCGCTCCCCCTTCTCCCCTTCGAGCGACCTCGGTCCCTGCACGCATTTGGCAGCCCCCAGTTGCTTGCTTGTTTTTTTTTACCACAGGAGTTAGTCACCAATCTCTCTCTTTCTGGAAAGTCCTGACTTGCCCCTCGGCCGATCGCCCTGACCACCAAGCCGCTCGCACCAATCATCCGTGTCTGGCCATCACAGCGTGGCAACGATCCCAAAGATATGTTCCCCCCTGGCCGCGTCCGCCGGCCGTCGCCGGAACCCCCCCGGCTGTGGCCGCTCCGGACGAGAACTTTTGGCCGCAGTCGTGGCCGATCGGGGAGGGGGTTTTAGGAGGGGGGAGCGAGTCTCGAGTCGGGGGGGGCTCCCCTACCCCCTCGCAAAAGAAAAAACATAAAAACTTCAAAAACGGGGGGGCAAAATCTGGGGATTTTTCGAGGGGGTGCGGATAATTTTGGGGCCGAAAAAAAAAACGATTTTTTTCAGTTTTTTTTTTTTTTTTTTTTTTTTGATTGATTGATTGATTGATTGATTGGTGGGGGAGGGGTCGCCCTTTCGTCTTTCTCCTCTTTCTTCTTTTCTCTTCGCCGTCCCTCTTCCTGCCATTTGTATTCAGCAATATCTGATTCGACGATGATCTATGGCTCTCACTTCTCCTTCTGGATCGTGATCCTAGCAATGGTGGGTGTCGTTTGTACGTTGTTCGACTTGCCATGTCTAGGCGATGTTTGTTGCAGACAAGCTGAGGGATCGTTCCCTGTCACTTTCAAGCAGATAGCAAGTTGTTTGCGAAAAATGAAAACCTCCAGATTATGAAGATCTCTCACGCACTGGATAATTTGCTTTGCGGCTTGGGTGTCTGCGTGGTGATATGACGATGGCTGTAGCAACGGTCGGCTTCAGCGGTTAGCTTGAGTGGTGTGGCGTGTGTGGGGTGGAATGATTCTAATAGACGCTTCTTCGATGGTCGAGAGCGTGGTGATAAGATACTGGGCTTGGGTGTTTGGTCCCGTGCTTCTACCATGCGGGGAGTAGGTGCAGGCAGGCGTATCAATAGGAGCTTTATGCGGTGGTAGGATGCTTCTCCTTTCATGAGCTTCGGAGTCGATGCGTTGAACAGATACGATGGGTCAATTTTTTCGACGCTGTCAAGGGTGCTCGGTGTGATTGATGTTGGGAGGCTGATGGGTGATGAGTTATATGCTGAAGGAGTCGTGATACAGCGTGGGAAGGGATGGGTGTGTAGATAACCGTTTTGTACAGAGTGGCTCGAGTCATTGATTGTTTCCTGCCGATCATAATAAATCGAGTGAGTAGGTGGAAGCTGGCGAGTGTTCTCGATTTTGAGAACCATATTGATAGGTTGGGGTTGGAGAGGGGTTGTACAGCTGTTCACACGAGGATTGATTCCCTGGATGGCGATGTTCGCGTATTCGGACCCTATTCGGAGTTTGTTGGGTGTTCTCCTCGGATCATTGTATTGGAATTGATGATTGCAGGCTTTGAGCCTGGGTAAGATGTTCAATTTGGGTCGATAAGATGATGACCAGTGAAGAAAACAAGTAACCAGGAGTAGGTTGGAGTACAGCGAGATCCTCGGGTCACTGGTAGTTCTTGATAATTAAAATTCTGAGCAACTGTGTGTATTGCCTTAGAGTATCTATGGACAACGAGTCCCTATGCCTCTTATTTAGTTACATGATCTGTGGATGGGTGCCTTGCGTTTGAAAAGTAGTGAAAAATGGGGCCTGAACTACGTACGAAACTGAAAATGGGTCGGTCCTTGGGCTCGATTTTGGGAGCCCTAAGTATGAAATGACCGGGTACCAGCAAGAAGGCCTTATTGTGATACCCAACCTAGGTCAATACCCTTGTTTGGGGCCTATGCGTGGGTGTTCACGGGGTCCAAGCAGTTCTGACCTCGAACAAATTAAAAAAGGTTATTAATGGGACTAGTATGACACGATGTTCAATACATTTGGAGTCCCAACAGGGGCTACCCTAGACGAATAGCTCTTCCTCTAGCTCGGGGAGTTTCTAGAACTTGGTCTATTGTGGTACTTAAGGAGCACTTGAGCATAGGCAGAGTCCTCTTCGACCGGTAGTACTAATGATGTTAGCGCATGATTGGACTATGCCTGTCTCTTATACACATCTAGATGTGTATAAGAGACTAGTACTAATGATGTTAGCGCATGATTGGACTATGCTCCCATCGTGTGATAACTCGTTAGGCTCCCGTACCGGTCCGTCTACGGCTACCAGGTACACTGCGGTGATGCATACTGCCCCGATCTTCATCACAACGTCCTTTTCCGCTGAGATCTCTGTGCGGCCTACTCCGTCGTTACCTAGGCTATCAATCGTGTTGTCGGCAACGCTGGAGGTTTCGTGCTCCTTGTGCCCCTTGGGATTGACGCTCCTGTGCTCGCTGAGGGTAGCAGTATCGTTGGGGTCACGAGAGGTCGGACGGAAGCACCATGGAATCCCTGCGCAGGAGATGTTGGATGAGCACGTCGCAGAGATTGATCCTGCGGGGCATCATCCTGAGGTGATGTTGTCAACTACTTATGGTAAAACCCGCTAATTAACCCTATGTGCATAGCGCTATCAGTTATGGTTCTCTAGTACTCCTGAATGAGATGATGATCAAGTGCTCTTATTTATCTCCTCTGATGAGCTATGCTTGTGGCAAAGCTAGCGAAAAGCTTTAGGATGTATGCCACCACCCTAGCCATGATGAAAACATTAAGTGCGATCGCCCACCCTTAGTGTGGTAATGATGGCGATCGTGGTATAGTATGAGAACCTGTGATATTAGACTAAGCTTTTCTTAGTGTCGGTATGAACAGAGTACACTTACCAGTGTTGTATGCCTTCGTGTTGATGTGTTCAACTTGGTTTCATTGTTGTGGGTCCCAACTGCTATGAGTTTCTTCTCTCTGCATCAGTGCTCCTTCCGGTTTCTTGGGGGTGTGTATGATGACTGGGTTTTGTTTTTAATTTTGATTTTAATTCAAAGATTTCCTGACGATTGGCTTCTTACCCCCTTCACCTTTCTTGACTCAGGCTTTTTTTGATTCTTCCTTCTCTTTGTCCTTCGTCCAAAGTGATTCATCTGGCGGTGTCATGTATTCATGAGTTCGCTCTTCAAATGTCTCCTCCTCTTTCTTGTTTTCTTTCCTGATTGATATATCTTTGAACTCCCCTTCTTCGACTTTTTTCTTCCCTCTCTTCATATTGAATGATTTCGTCCCCCTTGACGTGTGTACGATGCTCTCAAGCTTCTATGTCTCTAGTAGACTGTAGGTCATTCTTATCTGATGTTAACCTCCTCTTGGTGTTGTCGTCACCTCGTTCTTACTGGAAGCTGGATGAATGTAGCTCTGATTAGTTAGCAAGTTCTTCTGAGGAATTATGGTTTCCCGTTCTCTATTATTTATCTCTTTATGAGAGTCATCTGTCTGTGCGCCTTTGTGGGTCGCTGAGAATTTGGAATGGGCCCTATGGCTGAAGGGGTTTGAATGATATACTCCGAACTTGAGAACGACTTATTCTATGCATGTGTTTTATGATGGACTGGTGAATCAGGTGTGAGCATGTGTAATAATTCGGGATCTCTGATGGAGTGCATTTTATGCTGTGATTGTTGGGTGGAGCATGTAAATGTTAAGTGCTGAGGCGTTTATAATATGTGTTCACACACATCTTCACACTCACAATCCCATTCGGGGGATGTACCCTTGGTGGAGGTTTCCTCCCATGGCTGATACCCATGGCCTTTCGCTCATGACGCATGAATGGGATGCAATATACGCCATTTGGTTTTAGATTTCCTGCGTTGTTATTAGCGTAGCTTATTGGATTTTGCCTTGTCTTCCATATTTGCTCATGTTTTGAGACTGTGTGATTCAATGGTTTTCTGTGTTCAGGACTCTGTTGCCCCTCAAGTGCTGTGGATTCCGGACCTGGTTACTGGTGACAAAGCGTGGCTTGCACGATTCCGCCCTCCCTCCCGACCTACCCAAGCCTTGATTGCATGTGCACAGAAGCAAGTGATTGCTGAGGTCAAGGAGAGATCAGTTACCCCCGAGATTCATACCCTTCCCCTAGTCGAGTTCCTGTCTTTTAATGATTGGGCCGAGTTGATCTACCTCTATCGACACAGGAGGAATGAGTTTGTCGACACCTTGAATAGAATGGCTAGGGCAACGATAGTTGTAGACGAAGCTATGAAAGTTGAGGATAGGACGATAAACACGAGCACCATTGATGCTGAGGTGAAGTTTGTCGGGATCTGGGGAGCTGACTCGCAATTCCACAAGGAAAGGGTAGTGCGCGGAGTTGTGATTGCTGATGAAGTGGCATTGGAGGATGATGAGGATGAGATGACCGAAGAGGAGAAGGAGTACATGAGGAAGAAGGAGGTTGAGGTGGCAAGGACTAAGGCTTGCCTTATGACGAACACGAAGAAATCCTTCACAGATGCTCGGAGGAACGCGTTCCTCCCCTTTGCTTCTCCTAGATGGGTAGAGACAATGTCTACTGCGTTCTCTGGCAAAATCTGGTCTCTCGAGACCTTTAATTATCTTGCCCCGATTGACCAAAGGGGGTACAAATTGTTAGCTTCCCTCACTCAAGACGAGATGAAGTCAGCGTTCGAGAGAGCGTTGGACATGAACACTCCACCTCCGGAAGTCAAATTCCCGTTCAGTGGGGATGGGACGTTCCTCCCCCCTATATCCTCGATGGATGGCAACAAGTGTTCTCTGCCTCGCCCGAATGTCTTGATCAAGGGCAATAAGCCCCCTCAGAATCCATCTGCGTTTGCAGAGCTTAAAAGAGTGTGGAATCTAGGTAGGCCGTACTTAAAGTGCAGATGTTGTTCTGAGGGGAAGGCCGATTGTGGAACGGGCCCCGCATGGTTTGATCACCTGATCTGGTTCCTTTTGTACAACCTGGATGTCCTCTACCCAGATGCACCAACCCCGAGGGCGAAAGTGTCCTCCCTGATCAAGTGTCTTTCCACTTGCTGGAAACCATTGATGTTGACGTCTCTGTCGTTTGGATGTGTGAGAGAAGTGATGATGCTTCTTGCCAAAAAGATTGTGGCAAATCCGTCCCTGACGATCGACTCTGTGTTGGTTGGCGTGAATGGCGCCGATCGAAAGGCATTCAAGGAGTGTGCGAAGCTGCTCCTTATGAGTAAGTATGTTAAGAAAAGACCGAGGCTGAATGAGGAAGCATCTTCTTCAGGAGGTAAGTTCGCTAGGATTGATGGTTAGGGTACTATGCATCGTTTCATGTGTTCCACCCCCCCGGATCAACCTGATAAAACTGATGCGTTTACCCCTCCCGAATCCACGATCACCTCCGTTGGTGGGAAGAGGGTTGGTTTGCCGGCGGCACTCAATGGAGGAAATGCCGGCCATCAGCGAAATGTCAACAGAGCGATTTTCGATAACTGAGGAACACTTTGCTCAAGATGTTGTCGTGGTCGTATTTGATGCAGGTATGCAAGGGATCCTGATCAATGGGCCCTCTGGGAGAAAATGGTGGGTGAAGCTGGATAGTAAGGACGGCCCTGCTCGCAAATTTGTGCATATCCATTATGTTGGCAGGCAATTGGAGGGGTTCGACCCCAAGAAAATCTTTGAATCTGTTGTTTCACGTTTTGTCAATGTCCACATATTGACTGTGTTCCTGTCCATAGTTTATGGATGGACGTATGATGAGCCCATCAGTAGGTTTGTGTATAAACCGGCCTCTGTGTTCAAATTTTTTAATCTCTAGGAGTGGTACAATCGGATGACAGAAGAAACTCTATGTCCCTGCAATAGTGTTGAGCACTTCCGAGGTTTCCTCGATAACGAGACCCTCCGGATGTCTCAGCCGTGCCCGACAGCTTCAAAGCATGTGCTAACGTTAGATCCGTTGATTGCCGCTAATACAAAACTTACGGAGGTACTAAAAATGGGACTCAATCATATCCCATTGAGAGTCCCTACAAAGGAACAAGCTGTCGGAGTGCTCATGAAGGCATGGAGTGATACCCTGTCTATCATCCTTCGATCAGAATTTATCCCTAAACCTCTGATCGTGCATATGACGGGCTTAGTGAGAGATCTGCTTAACAAGGAGGTGGGCCAGAGGTTGAAAAGGTGCTCTTTTAAAACTGTCCCATTTCAGATAAAAAGTGAAGTTCGATTTTTATTGGACCATCTTTATGTCGCAGGTACGGATAAAGCTGCTAACACTCTGTTTTTTGTATGTAAGCATCTTATCCGTGCTTTGGCCTTGGAGAGACTAATGGGCCCTGATTTCCTATTCTCGGATATCCCGGCAGCACAGGTTATACGCGAAGCTACGGAATCCCTAAAATGTGGTTTCCCAACGGTAAGGAGTGAGTCTGAGAGCTTGCCCTATCTTATGGCTATTTTTAAGCAGCATAAGATGACCTTTAGGTGGCTAACCAATGCCTCTGATTCGGTCCTTACATATCCTGCGCTCCTAGTAGATACGGTCTTGTCCACCCTTAAGGATTTGGTCATGGAGCACTGTGGGAACATGGCTAGGGCCACGAAAGCATTCCATGGCGTTGATACTGCCTTCTGGTGGATTATTGACTGCGTCCAAGATTACTGTTATAATTTACCATCTGAGGTTCACTCAGTATTCTCTGCGGATATTTCGAAATGTTTTGAGAATATTCCCATTGATGACTCGGAAGATGGGTTAATAAGTGCGATCAAATTTTTTGTGAATTTGGCCTTCAAACGCATGAAAAGTGTGGTTGGCTTCACGTGTGTTAGGTGTGTATATCAGAAGAATGGTAGGATTCGATGCAACCTGGCCAAGTCAGACGCCCCTCCTACGCAAAATTCCTTCTCTATGGGAGCTGAACGCATTATCATGTTGTGTGAATGGATACTGGCTAGGTGCTACACAAGTTTTGAGAATTCAGTATGGAAGCAGGTTAAGGGGATTCCCATGGGGCTTCCCGTGTTCCCCGATTTGGTGCAATGTTTACTTTTTTAAGTATGAATATTGCTTCATCATGAGGTTGGTTAGGATGGGTGCATTGGAGTTTGCAGCCCTGTTCAAAATGGCCTTTAGGTATATTGATGACTTGCATGTGATCAATAACCCTGCGATTCTGAGGTTTCTCGACCCATCACAGATTAGGGAGAGTACCAACCCTTTCTGGATTTATCCACTGAACATCATTGAAATTAAGAACCAGACTATGGACTATACGATGGGTCCATAACGAATGATCTATGGCAGAACTTCACAATTCCTTCATCTGAGCATCCAGGTCATCCCTGAGACTAATGGGCGTTTTCTAACGACCAAGCATGATAAAACCCGGTCCTTGGAATTTAAGCCGGTCAGGTTTATTAAGTATGAGTCTAATAGACCCATCAAACAATCGATTAATGTGATTATTTTACAAACTGCTCTGATCATGTTGCTGACAAATTCCGAGTTTCACGTAGCTAAGGATATTAAGAGTCTAATTGATGAATTCGTGAAGAACGGGTTTTTGAAGAGTAAGTGCATGTGGAAAGCTCTCATGGTCCTTGACCAGCCAGATGCATTCCAGACTTTTCATTGTTGTCACATGGAGACGAAGCGGCTGCTCAAGGTATGTCATTTAAATGCCCTTATGAATAGTAATGCCTCCCCTGAATACTTGACAAATGTATCTGTTGGTGTGGAGGTGCTGTCACTGTGTTTGTGTCCCCCCGTAGCATCCAATCCACTGATGGCAACTTTGAGGGGGTTGCTGGGGGAATCCTGACCTGGTTGGTCAGGGTTCTCCCCTGACCTTCCAGAGCAGGTTCCCCTAGTGGGTTAGGGGCGGGTCACACACACACACACATACACACACACACACACACACACACACACATACATACAAGGGCTTGAAGCCTGGGTAAGATGTTCAGTTTGGGTCGATAAGATGATGACCAGTGAAGAAAACAAGTAACCAGGAGTAGGATGGAGTACAGCGAGATACTCGTGTCACTGGTAGTTCTTGATAATTAAAATTCTGAGCAAATGTGTGTATTGTCTTAGAGTATCTATGGACAACGAGTCCCTATGCCTCTTATTTAGTTACATGATCTGTGGATGGGTGCCTTGCATTTGAAAAGTAGTGAAAAATGGGGCCTGAACTACGTACGAAACTGAAAATGGGTCGGTCCTTGGGCTCGATTTTGGGAGCCCTGCGTATGAAATGACCGGGTACCAACAAGAAGGCCTTATTGTGATACCTAACCTTGGTCAGTACCCTTGTTTGGGGCCTATGCGTGGGTGTTCACGGGGTCCAAGCAGTTATGACCTCTAAGAAATTAAAAAAAGGTTATTAATGGGACTAGTATGACACGGTGTTCGATACATTTGGAGTCCCAACAGGGGCTACCCTAGACGAATAGCTCTTCCTCTAGCTCGGGGAGTTTCTAAAACTTGGTCTATTGTGGTACTTAAGGAGCACTTGAGCATAGGCAGAGTCCTCTTCGACCGGTAGTACTAATGAGTTAGCGCACGGTTGAACTACGCTCCCATCGTGTGATAACTCGTTAGGCTCCCGTACCAGTCCGTCTACGGCTACCAGGTACACTGCGGTGATGCATACTGCCCTGATCTTCATCACAACGTCCTTGTCCGCTGAGATCTCTGTGCGACCTACTCCGTCGTTACGTAGCCTATCAATCGTGTTGTCGGCAACGCTGGAGGTTTCATGCTCCCTGTGCCCCTTGGGAGTGACGCTACTGTGCTCGCCGAGGGTAGCAGTATGGTTGGGGTCACGAGAGGTCGGACAAAAGCACCATGGAATCCCCGTTTGACTTCGAGGAGATGTTGGATGAGCACGTCGAAGAGATTGATCCTGCTGGGCATCATCCTGAGGTGATGTTGTCAACTACTTATGGTAAAACCTGCTACTTAACCCTATGTGCATAGCGATGTCAGTTATGGTTCTCTAGTACTCATGAATCAGATGATGATCATGTGCTCTTGTTTATCTCCTCTGACATTATGTGCGATCGCCTACCCTTAGTGTGGTAATGATGGTGATCATTGTATACTATGAGAACCTGTGATATTAGATTAAGCTTTTCTTAGTGTCGGTATGAATAGTACACTTACCAGTATTGTATGCCTTCGTGTTGATGTGTTCAACTCGGTTTCATTGTTGTGGGTCCCAACTGCTATGAGTTTCTTCTCTCTGTATCAGTGCTCCTCCTGGTTTCTTGGGGGTGTGTATGATGACTCGGTTTTGTTTTTAATTTTGATTTTGATTCAAAGATTTCCTGACGATTGGTTTTTTACCCCCTTCATCTTTCTTGACTCAGGCTTTTTTTTATTCTTCCTTCTCTTTCTCCTTCAGCCCCTTCCTTCCTTCTTTCGTCTTTCTCCTCTTTCTTCTTTTCTCTTCGCCATCCGTCTTCCTGGCATTTGTAGTCATCAATATCTGATTCGACGATGATCTATGACTCTCGCTTCTCCTTTTGGATCGTGATCGTAGCAATGGTGGGTGTCGTTTGTACGTTGTTCGACTTGCCATGTCTAGGCGATGTTTGTTGCAGACAAGCTGAGGGATCGTTCCCTGTCACTTTCAAGGAGATAGCAAGCTGTTTGCGAAGAAGGGAAACCTCCAAATTATGAAGATCTCTCACGCACTGGATAATTTGCTTTGCGGCTTGGGTGTCTGCGTGGTGATATGACGATGGTTGTAGCAAAGGTCGACTTCAGCGGTTAACCTGAGTGGTGTGGTGTGTGTGGGGTGGAATGATTCTAATAGACGCTTCGTTGATGGTCGAGAGTATGGTGATAAGACACTGGGCTTGGGTGTTTGGTCCCGCGCTTCTACCATGCTGGGAGTAGGTGTAGGCAGGCGTATCAATAGGAGCTTTATGCGGTGGTAGGATGCTTCTCCTTTCATGAGCTATCGAAGTCGGTGCGTTGAACAGATACTATGGGTCAATTTTTTCGACGTTGTCAAGGGTGCTCGGTGTGATTGATGTTGGGAGGCTGATGGGTGATGAGTTCTATGTTGAAGGAGTCGTGATACAGCGGGGGAAGGGATGGGTGTGTAGATAACCGTTTTGTACCGAGTGACTCGAGTCATTGATTGTTTCCTGCTGATCATAATAAATCGAGTGAGTAGGTGGAAGTTGGCGAGCGTTCTCAATTTTGAGAACCGTATTGATAGGTTGGGGTTGGAGAGGGGTTGTACAACGTTTCACATGAGGATTGATTCCCTGGATGGCGATGTTCGCGTATTCGGACCCTATTCGGGGTTGTTGGGTGTTCTCCTCGGATCATGGTACTGGAATTGATGATTGCAGTCGTCAATTTCGGAACGTGTGTGTAATTGTTTTTACAAAGTGATTCATCTGGCGGTGTCATGTATTCATGAGTTCGCTCTTCAAATGTCTCCTCCTCTTTCTTGTTTTCTTCCCCGATTGATATATCTCTGAACTCCTCTTCTTCAAGTTCGGCTTTTTTCTTCCCTCTCTTCATATTGAATGATTTCGTCCCCCTTGACATGTGTACGATGCTCGCAAGCTTCTATGTCTCTAGTAGACTGTAGGTCATTCTTATCTGATGTTAACCTCCTCTTGGTGTTGTCTTCACCTCGTTCTTACTGGAAGCTGGATGAATGTAGCTCTGATTGGTTAGCAAGTTCTTCTGAGGAATTATGGTTTTCAGTTCTCTATTGTTGATCTCTTTATGAGAGCCATATGTTTATGCGCCTTTGTGGGTCGCTGAGAATTTGGAATGGGCCCTATGGCTGAAGGGGTTTGAATAATATACTCCGAACTTGAGAACGACTTATTCTATGCATGTGTTTTATGATGGACTGGTGAATCAGGTGTGAGCATGTGTAATAATTCGGGATCTCTGATGG